ATCAGGCAGAGCCCAGTGCCAAGAAATCACTGGATAACTAATTATTGAATTGTAAGATTTTGTAGTGCCATTTAAAACATTAGTGAAGCAAATCAATGTAGTGGTCTATAATGGCATTTCCAAAACTATGTATTTAGGAGTCTTAGAAAACTCATAGTGAATTCTAGATAATGTTCACCACTAGCTTCTTAAAGATATGCTCTACATGAAAATGAGTTCACATTAGGATATTTTTTTACTGGGTTTTTTTTAGCATGATGGCATATTGCTTACTGATGCATTTCAATGGATCTTTGTTGATACCTGTTCGTAGGTTAGTCCTACAAAAGCTAACCTCAATTAACACAGTAGCCAAAACAAAGAAGAATTAAGATAAATTTATTTCTACATTTTTCTGGGATGTCTAAACAATGTCCTAAAAATAAAACCTTTACCAATACTCTACATTTTCATTGTCTCTTCATTAAATGTGAAAGCAATTTGTTTGAAATTAAAAATAACTTTAGTTGACAGTGACTTGGGATGGAGAGATAATTTTTTTTAAAAAACCAAGATATGACCAATCATTACAGGAAGAACCAAATAAAATTTAGGTGGCTTTGTAGCATATAAAGGGAAAAGAGTATAAATGAAAGAAAACATATAACCTTAGCTGAGCGGGATGCTGGTAGCTCATAACTATAATCATAGCTACTCAAAAGGCTGTGATCTCAGGATTGTGGTTCAAAGCCAGCCTGCACAAGAAAGTCAATGAGACTCTTATCTCTAATTAACTACCCAAGGGCTTAAAGTAGAGCTCAAGTGGTAGTGGACCAGTCTTAAATAAAAAACAGCTAAGGCTTGGCATCAGGACCTGGGTTCTATAAGGTCCTCTCCTGGATGGCGAGCAGACTCCACCCTCCTCGCAGCAAAGTCTCCGCCCAGTATCTGTATTACCTAGGCAACTGACACACCTGGAAGAGGTCACAACTGAATCCACTGAGGTCACATCTGGATTTGATGTGGCCACACCTTTCCCAGCCCTGCCCTAGATAAGGCCTAGCCCAGGCCTTATTTCCAGGCCTTTCCCAGCCGCTGAGTGCTAACATGGCCTGGTGCCAGCCGGACCTATGAAGAAACCTACCCCTTACCTGAATACCACGTGCGTGGTGTACTCCTTACTAGGCCACCTCTTTTAAAAAACCTAACAGGTTCAAGCCACATTACCACGATGCAGAGAAAGAGAAAGGAGAGGGAGAGAGAGAGAGAGAGAGAGAGAGAGAGAGAGAGAGAGAGAGAGAGAGAGAGAGAGAGAAAATTAGGGATGAGAGATGATAATCAGAGAGGTTCAGGCTCTCTGGCAGTTGGGCACCAAGTCCCCAAAAACAAGCATTATTTATCTGAGTAAACATAGGGAAGGTTACCAAGGATACATGCAAAACATAAAGCATCTATATTAATATTACAATCAGAGTTAAAACAGTTTGTGAGACACACTGGTTCCCTTATTCTTTTGAGACAAATGACTGCAGCCCAGGGAAAGTCCAGATATGATGTCCTCTTATCTAGTCCGAGGTTAAGCTGTGAAGGTCCAGCCTACAAGGTCCCCACCACAGCTACAAGCCTAAAGAAAGGGGGGGGGGGGGGAGACAGTCAAGGGAAGGGGTGATACCCCAGTTTCTTCACCCTCTCCAGAGCTGTCGGTTTAACTCTTCCATGGCCAACTATTACTGTTCCAAGTGCTGTTGAGACAGTGTCTCAACCTTTCAAACCTTTTCTAGTTTTTATAGCTCAGCTTCAGAGTTCCCTATACATGTTCCTCCCAAGAGAACCACTTGGACCTTCTGGACCATGAATCTTAAGCAGAGATAAAGACATCAACTTGCCTCTCTTTTAAAGAAAATACCATGTAGCCCTCAGGCAATTTTGGAGATCACTCCCAGCTCAGACTTCCCTTGGTAACAGGCAGTTATCCTTTCAGTGGGAGTCATGTAATCAAGCAACTTGTCCCTGGCTTCAGCAAAAGTCAGCAATGACACCCTAACAGCACCAGACAGCACCACCTCTTCACTGAGAAGGGCAAAGTCTATGCTATCTCCATCATTCTGTGTGTAAATGAACATCTCCAGTCAAGTGGAAAAATCAAAAGGCTCTAGCATGTATCTTAAGCTTGAACCTGACCATTCATTGGTTTGGGATATGAAAGCTGAAAAGTAGGGCTGAATTTCATCCTTCAGCATGGCCTTTTCCTGCTACTTATAATACTCATTACCAGTAGCCTTCATTAAATTCTGATTTTAACCATCTACAGCAATCAGACCAGGGTAACTGCTGCCCATGGTAACACAGGATCATGTTACCTGTGGGTACCTCACCACTTGCCTGCTTCAATCCGACCTTCATACAAATGGAACTGCATAATGGGGCTGATAACAAGCTAGCACTTGTAACTGTTACTATTGCTGTGGATAACAAAATTCTTGTGACTTTAATCCAAGAGATTGTGTATACCAACAGCACTTATAAAACTATGAAAGTTTCCATGTCAGTTTATAAGTAGTAGAATCCCAGAAGTGGAGCTGTGGCTCAAGCAGTAGAGGGCTTGCCTTGAGCTGAGGGGCAGCGCCTAGGTCCAGAGTTCAAGCCCCACAATGGATTAAAAAAAAAAAAAAAAAATGACCTAAGTAGTAGAATCCCTCAGAAATCTCATGTTCTTGAAATTCCTAGTAGTAGGTCCAAAGGAACTGTGAAATTGAGAAAAAGCAAAAACAACTCACAAGGCTTCCCATGCTCCTTTCCTAACAAAAACTATAATTCCATTAGCCTTATGACAAACAAGAGTTTCAACAAACTTTGGAATCCAGATAATGTTTTTGACCCCTGACCAAAGTACAACAATGACAAAACAAAGAAAGAAGACCCCCAAGTAGCAAAAGAATGTGAGAAGAGAAAACAAAATAAGAGCAAAAGTGAAGTATGACAGAAATGAGACTAGTCTTCCTCTAGCCCTCTTCTAGGAAATCCTGGCCAACAGAGGAAGGATCCCATTGTAAAGCATGGATAAGCAGTTGGGTGGGAAGTTGGGTTCTCTGACTAGATGTAGTGGAAAGTCTGCCCACAGAGGCTTCAGTATTGAACAGAGCAATGTGTCTATTAGAACACACTGCCATTTGTTCCTGGGCCTGTTCATCATTCACATGTGATCCCTGGAGCCCACCACAAACTCTAGACGAGATCAGGCGCATTCAGGTGGTATGGCCGTGAGCGACTACCACAAACTCTAGAAAGCATAGAGTATCATTTTCTGCTGAAGAACACTATCTGACATATCTCAGAAAAGACACTGAATTGTATCTACTCTTATGTCTAATTTTTGTATGGTCTTAAACAGAAAACTAGTGCCTGAGAAGACTTTATACATTTTCAGCTCTATAATTCTTCATTTCCTCACTCAACCACATCATATGGGAAAAAAAATAAGCTCAATTTATTATAATTACAGTCACTCAGATTATCTTTATTATCAGACAATAAAGAAAATGTAATAATTTTCTTTAAAAAGTACTTTGTTACAAATATACTTATTAATAAAAAAAATCTTACTATTCTTTATTTTACTATATTCTATCAATTTAAAAGCAAACAACTGATTTCTATTATATTCAGTAACAAGTTTTATTTTTGATTTGATGATGTGTTAATATGCATACTAGTACATTTTAATAAATGCAAATTAGATAACTAATAGAATAAAATGGGCATTTAGAGCTTTATGGGAAAACTGATAGAAAGCGAGTTCTAAAATCTAGTTTATTTGTGGAAAACGCAGACACGTCTTAGAGAAGAAAACATTACTAAAGTATGAATAATTTTAAAGGAAGTAGAAGAAAATAATCAATATTGCACAGAAAATCAAATCCATTTTACCTTTTTATGGGTGGGAGAGTTAGGAGAAGAAAGCTAAATTACCTTTCTAGAAAATGGTACTCTCCCACTTTCTCCCAACCTTTTAATGCCAGGGAGCAATCGTATGGCTTTGGGTTTTCTATGACAACATCCCACTACTGAGCTACATCTACAACTGAAATAGTACCTTCCACTTCTAGAGCACAAGGTACTTCAAATATTAGGCTTAATAATAGTGAGAGACTATTATTAAAGAATACAACTACAACACAATGATTTAACAGCGAAAATAAGAATTTAGAATAATTATTCCCATTGTCAACTTTTAATCAACAGCACAGAAAATCTAGAAGTTATAGGAATTCTTTAATGTAGGGGAAAATAAGGAGCAGAGAAGCAACCATGAAGCAACCATTCATACTAGCTACTCAGCTAAAATCTGAGGATCACAATTCAAAGCCAGCCCAGATAAGAAAGTCCATGAGACTCTTTAATTAAGCACAATAAGTCTGGAAGTACAACTGTGGCTGAAATGGTACAGTATAGTGCCAGCTTTGAGGAGAATAAAGCTAAAAGACAGTGCCCAGGTACTGACTTTAAGTCTGATATAAAAAAAAAATCATTTTTAAAAGGAGAAACATTAAACATTAGTTATTAAGCTTGAATGCATATACCATCTATGGTTATAAGTGATTGGGGCATGTAGAAATTAAGTCTAAATGTGACTTTACAAGAAAAATATTTTGCGAAAATGCATCACGTAGAATTATTAAAACAATAAAAATCTGTAATTCATATGATGAGAAAAGCAGCTTTTAATCACAATTAGATCAACAGGATAAACAATTCATTGGGCTATGATCACATGTCTTATACTGCTAGAAAAAGTAAAGTAATGAAAGTTGTCACAGGAGTTGCCAGTACGTATTGCTAAGTCAAACTATCACTTAGTGCAAATTGGAATTATGTACGTTTATTAAAAACGTGATAAGAATATTAAGCTGTGTCCAAAGTTACATAATGTGATCATTACATACCAGCCAATTCATTAAACAGTTATAAAACAATATTACGTAATGTTACCTAAAAATGTATTTTATATACATGAAACTTACTTGCAGTTGAACTGAATTGTGCTTAAGGCCTTCCACAATAGAAGAAAATCTGTCGATTTTTCTTTCTTCTCCAGCAGAAGTTAAAGCTTCTAAAACTTCTTCAAGGCTATTGGAAATTTTCAGTGAATTAATTAATTTGCAAGAGCAAATAACACAAATGCTATAATTCAATTACTGTACCCCACTAAAGGAGATGATGTGTCTAGGCAACCAGCAAGACTTTAGAAGTACCAGGCTGGGCCCAGAGCATCTATCAGATGTACTGCTTTACTTACAATTATTAATGCATATTAGTGTAACTAAATGGACTTCACTGAATTTCTACACATGCAGATATAGTGTTTCAGTGGTGCCTATCTTTCCCGCCACCCTCTGTTACCTCCTTTTCCTCTGCCCAAGTTTCAACTCTTTCACCTTCTATAAAATTCCCTTTTCTAGGTTCAGGTTATTTATTTTTTCTTTTCCACGTTCTCACATTTGACAGACAAAATATAATTCTTGTCTTTCTGTGTTTTGTATACAGTATTGTGCTCAGCACATTTTATGTTTTCACTCATCCCTCAAAAAATATTCTACACCTAGCATTTGTAACATGCTTACTATATAGCAGGCACTCTTTGAACTACTTTCTAAACATTAAATACTTTATATTTATTTAAATTTTTAAATTATACAAAACAACTCTACATATCTTCTGGGTACCAATATGTGTGTACACTGTGTAACACTCAAGTCAGCATAAGAAGTTCCAGCACCTCAAATATTTATCATTCCTTTATAGGAAAAATATTGAGTCCTGACATACACCGGTGGCTCACGCCTATAATCCTAGCTACTCAGGAGGCTGAGATCTGAGGATCTTGGTTCAAAGCCAGCCTAGGCAGGAAAGTCCATGAGACTCTTATCTCCAATAAACCACTAGAAAACCAGAAGTGGTGCTGTGGCTCAAGCAGTAGAGCGCTCACCTTGAGCTGAAGAGCACAGGAACAGTGCCCATGCCCAGAGTTCAAGCCCCACGACCAACTAAAACGTATATACACATATATTGAGTATATTGAGTATTGTATATACATATATTGTATATACATATATTGTATATTGAGTCCTTTTTATCCTAGCTTTTATGAAATATATAACTAAGCCCAATGGTTCGCACTTATTACTCCCAGCTATTCAGGAGGCAGAGATTAGGAAGATCACAGTTCAAGGCTAGCCTGGCAAAAAAATTAGCAAGACTCAATCCCAATAAACAACCAAGGCATGGTTCACACCTATAATGCCAGCTATGCAAGAGGCACAGATAGGAGAACCTTCCATCCATGTAAGCACAAGGCCAAAAATGTAATATAAAATGAAAAATAACCAAAATCAAAAATAATTTGGGGTGTAGTTCATGAATTAGAGTGCTTACCTAGAAAGCACAAGGTCCTAAATTCAGTCCACAGGACAACCAAAAAGCAAAGAGAAGAAATAACAGTAATGATGATATCTAGAATTAAGCCTACAAAGGATAGAGAGAGAGAGAGAGAGAGAGAGAGAGAGAGAGAAAGAGATAGATAGATGATAGATAGATAGATAGATAGATAGATAGATAGATAGATAGATAGATAGAACAACTATATTCAATAGGCACTATATATTAACCCATTTTATAGACTACAAAACTAAGGAAGAAAACTTTAAGCAATCTGCTCAAGGTCTCACTTCTGCAGGAAGGCAATGACCTGACCAAATGACCTACATAGGGACATTAAAATGCTTTTAACCAGTATGCTTTAAAATGCCTAGAAGGAAATAAAGTTGTAATAGACAAACACATGTAGCAGCAATGTATTATACTCAAAATTAGTAATTACGAAAATGTAATTTAAACAAGTATACCACCATCTCCTTTAAAGAACAGTTTTGTATCTAGCCACCATAGATGCTATCAGAAGACAAAAACATATGACCTATGTGTTATTTATCATTTTAGTACCCATTCTGAACTCAAAAAACAATAAAACTAATAAAGGAGAGAGAGGGGAAAATAAAGAGAAAAATGAATAAAGAAAGAGACAAGAAGACTGGGATGAGAAAATGGAAAGTGAGTCTAAAAGGAGAAAGAAAAACAGAGATGGGGATGGCGGAAGAGGTAATATAGAGAAAGAAAGAAGATACAGGGAGGAAGGAAAGAAATCGAAGGGAAAATGGAAGAAGCAATCATGCATATCAACACACATGCATGCATGCTACCTATCAACTTGCAGATTTGCACACTCAAATTGGGAAACTGAAGGGAAAGTTCAGGGTAAATGCCCAGTCTGATAGCTGAGACTACAGTTGGGTTTAGCTAAACTTCTGAAAATTATCCCACATGTTCACAGGGAGCCAGATCTGGCTGGTACCTAGACACTAATTTAGGAAAATCTGAGTGGGCTCAACCCACCTGCTGCAAGAGGGGCTGCCCAGGGTTGGCTGACAGGTAAGTGCAGCCCTCCACTGCCTGGCTTCATCCTGTGCGAGAGCTGCTGCTCTTCTTCTCATTATTCAAGTTTTACCCTTTACAAAGGCATTTAAAATGTCTCTTTATAATCAAAACCCCAGTCATCTTTTATAAGGAAAGGTTTTTATGTGTATAATTATCAGTGGTCTTTTAGTTCTAGCTCTAACAAATGTGGTCTAAGATTTTCTAACCTTAACCTGTAAAGTACTCTCACATATATAAATGTATAAATCTGTATTGCATATAAATTTCCAAATAGTAATAAGTCTGTGACTATAAGGAAAAACACATGATCTACAATTTGAAATAATTCTGACAGAAAAATTAAATAAGAAAGAGAATCCATTTATATATTTACTAGCTACATTGAGAATGTTTATATAGAGTTCAAGTCACAACAGTACAAATTATTATGAAAAATTGCATTTGCATAGAAATATTCTTTGTCATAACTAAGGTATCAGTAGAAAAATAATTATTAATTGCTCAAATACTTCTATATTTTAGTATACTAAGTAATTTTAATTTTAATATACTACACTGAAATTCTAGAGTAGGAAATACAAAATGATTTTTTTTCAATGAATGCATAAGAAGAGAAAAACACTTACATGCTCTCCTCGCCTACGATGCAGACCGCAGAGAGAAGTTTGACCACATCAGTCATCATACTGGGGTGCTGAGGATCCATGGCTTTAGCCAACAAAGAAAGGCTCCTCTCCTCGCTCATAATCCTCTCTAAGCCATACTGATATTTTTTAGGGAAAAAGAATACAGAAAGGAAATTCAGTGTTAGCAGTCAATGAGGAAATGGTGCCCTAAAGGAAACACACATGTCCAAAAAATATAATACATTTTACACTCAGTAATGCCTGAAAATATAAAAACCCTATATAATACCCTAAAACAACAATATTCACTTGTGTCAAGAACTAATGATACTCAAATTCACAGAGAACCTACAAGGCATGTGAGATTCATATAAATAGGAACAAACAAACAAGCATACAAATTCTGACACAGACAATAAGCTGTGAGCATCATTTTTCCTGGTGAAGAAAGTTGATAGGAGTGCTACAGTCAAAGTAAACACATAGATGAATACTTCTTGGGAAGATGTAATGTGCACTACACTGTGTGCAATTACATGCCACTTCCATGCAAGGAAACTATCTGCAATTAAATTAACCCCATATAAAAAAAATTCTATCACTGCAGCATGTAACAATGTAAAACAATTTGTTGTTGAGTTATTTCACTTTTTCCTTCCTACGTATTAGAAATCCAATCAATTTTATACTGAGCATATCTCAATTTACACGTAACACATTCAGATGCTCAAAACTACATTTGGCTACCATATTCCATAGTGCAGGACCAAATATTAACACACAGTTCATAACTGGGTAAGGGCGAAGGCAGTGAGGGAAAGATACTACAAGCAGACTCCAATAATAATAGGTGTGTTCTTATCAGAACCATTATTTGTCATCTGGAAGATAATGGAAGTTGCAAACACACATATGTAAGTAGAATTATTAAAAATAGAGACAAAGTTTAATTACCACTGCCCATATGTTATAGGGGATATGTTCATGACAGACTGTCTCTATCTATGGGCCTACTTAATCTATAGAACAATCAACATGTAAAGAAATACTAGGAAGAAAACAACACTATTTACCTATAAGACAAATTAAAGTATGCTACAAAAGAGTGCATAGTTGGTCATAATATTAATAATAAAAATAAGGCATTAATCTCATCAATAAACTTATCAATTGTAGCCCAAAATTAGCACAATATATATGCATCAATGTCAAATCTGTAACAAGCTTATTAGACTTAAATACTGGATTATATCCTATTTATAGCTATCTTATATATGACATTTATGTAAAGAAACATACACATAGAGCTGAAATATTACATTTCCTTTAAACCACTATTTAAAGAACACAAGAAAAACAGAAGAAACATAAGCCAATGGACCAAGTTACATACTATAATGTAATTTTTGGATAGACTTTACTTTCTTGTTAGTGATGGAGGACAATTTACAAAGAGACAGCTAAACAAGTCCACAGATGCTCACTTCTGTGTTATTCTGGGCTGTTTCGTGATTGGAAGGAGAATCCATAACTGACAGGGCAGTAACCACATCAGCTTCAATAATCATTCCAGGGAATTGTCAGAAGCTTATAAAGTACAATTAAATCTAACCCTGAGTTTGTCAATAAGTAAGGCAGGGTGGTATATGCCTACAATCCAAGATACCTCGCAGACAGACAGGTTGAGGTCAACCCTGGCCAAAAAAGATACTTCAGAGAATAAGCCAGCAGTAGTGTCTCAAACATGTAATCCTAACTGTTCTGGAAGCATAGATAGGAAGATCACAGTCTAGGCAAAACAAACAAACCACCAACAACAAAACTTGAGACCTTGTCTGAAAAACAACTAAAACAAAAAGGACTAACTAGGTTGCTCAAGTAATAGATTACCAGCCTACAACTCCAGTATCACCATAAAAGGGAAGAAGGAAAAAAGGAGAAAACCAAGAAGGGATGGAAAAGGGAAAGGAGGGAGAGAAAGAGAAGTAGGGGAAAAGTTATAACTGAGCTTAAAATTCAAAAATAATATTTAAAACTGAAAAATAAGTTGAAGTGGAATAAATAATAGAAAATAAAGACATAATGACTAGCTGGCTCTGTCCCAATAAACCTGGGGGGTACAAGAAAGCTTGTCCCATTATTCCCTTTCATTTCCCACCCAAGTCTGTCCTTAGCTAGGACCTTTCTCCCTAGAAGTATGTCAAGACTGATGGCGATGTCTTTCTGACATCCTACCCAATGCTTCTATCTAGCCCTATGGTCCCAACTACTGTGGTTGAAGCCCTTAATATGAATGAGCAGTCTCATTTCATGATTCTGAACATGATCACAGTGCCCCAAAAGCCAACTAGCAGCAGTCTATGATTTTCCTGATGTAAATAGGTAGTACTCATTTAATACTGGAATTAAACTAGACTCCCAGTTCTTAATGTCCATAACTAACAAGGAAGTGCTACATACTTGTATAAAATTAGTCTTTCAATTATTAATTTTTAAAAAATGTTGACTGTGACAAATAGTCAACTTACCAGTGCTAACTAGCATTAAAGTCCTGTATTATAAAATAGAGAGGTAGAGAAAAGTATGGAAGGTTTAAGAATGTAGCTCTTCTGAATGGCAAGGACCCACTCTGGGAAATATGATAACTGCCCAGTTCTAAACTGAAGCCCAATGTCAGGTTCTATTTGCATTCTACATGGGGCCCATTATTACCTAATGGGTGGAATGTCTTTTAGGTAGGGGATCTGTGTAAGAGGCTCAACATCTGATAAAACATTGCAACTATATGACTACTGGTGATAAACAGATATCCACAATGAGTTAATCCTACTTAAAGCAGAGGGAATGTGAGAAAAGGATAGCCTCAGGAGCAAAGAAAACTTGTGTGGGTATACACCTCAAAGCAACACACCAACACTTTACCCATCAAACTGAAATCTGTGCTAATTTTCTTAGAATGTAAACAAACAAAATAGTCTTTCATCCATACCTTTATATTTTTCTTCCTGAGTGGACAGAATATTCTTCCATTTCAAAAGAATTTTAGCCTATGCTAAATATTATAGAAAATCCACTTTCCTATATCATCAACATTGGTCATATTAATAACATAATTATTGGTACAAAATAAGGTTCCACATTTTTCTCATAAAACCAATATGTTAATCTTTCAACAAACACTAGCAAAGACTTCACAATAACATTTTCAAAAGATTTTGTATTTACAGATGTGATCAATAAACTTGATGAAAACCACCAACTTGCCTTGGAATAAGAATGTGTAACTTGGGCTGGGAAGGTGGTTCAGTGGTAGAGCGCTTGCCTTGCATGCATGAGGCCCTGGGTTCAATTCCTCAGCACCACATAAGCAAAAAAGAAAAAAGCCGGAAGTGGTGCTGTGGCTCAAGTGGTAGAGCGCTAGCCTTGAGCTGAAGAGCTGAGGGACAGCGCCCAGGCCCAGAGTTCAGTCCCCACGACAGGACCCAAAAAAAAAAAAAAAAAGAAAGAAAAAAAGAATGTGTAACTTGACCAAAGACTTGAAAGACTTGACTTCACGTATTAGGTTTAGAGTTAGGATAAATATTAAAATATTTATCCTAAATATCAGTAAATTCATTTTTTATTCTAATTAATATGGTAACAACTTCAAATCCAAAGGCAATTTTTATGGAATCACATGTGCAAATTAAAAGACTTCAAACCAATGATAATATAGTGCATTCTATAAAAATACAAGCACATGGGCTGGGAATATGACCTAGTGATAGAGTGCTTATTAGCATGCATGAAGCCCCGGGTTCAATTCCGCAGTAACACATACACAGAAAATGCAGGAAGTGGCACTGTGGCTCAAGTGGTCGACCACTAGCCTTGAGCTGAAAAGCTCAGGGATAGTGCCCAAGCCCAGAGTTCAAGCCCTATGACTGACCAAAAAATAAAAAAACTAAAACCAAGTAGTAATGATGTCTTCTATATAATAATTTGCTTAAACCAAGATATTGTTCTCTACTTCAAGATCCACATGTCCCTTTGGTTTGGAAAAAATGTTGCTGAAGTTCCTGTACTCTTAGCCTTCCCACAAAGTTGCCAGTTCTCCACAATCACGATACAAAGAGAATCTTAGACCTACAGACTCAGTAGGAAGTCAATTCCCTCAGTCAGGAGTTTCTTGCTTCTCTTCATTTAATATTAAAATAGTTCATCTGGAGATATCTAGTTCATATTACCTAAAATCTTTTGATTTATACATTAGATACTTTCCTTGAAAGTCCTGATTGGAGGAGGAAAAAGTATTTCATTGGTTAGAACTAAAAAACTTAGCTCCAAAAAAAAAAAAAAAAAAATGTTTTAACAATACTAGTAATTTCATAATTAGAACATATAAATATTTGCTATAGTTAATAAAGTTTAAAAGCCACTTTTTAAAGTACTAGTATTATTTTCTAAAGATGTTTCAAAAAATATCAAGAGGAACTATATGGGTACTTTTTCTCTAAAACAATAATCACAACACTATGGTAACATTTCCTCCCTGATGTCCTAAAATGCCTATCATTACTCTACACATCATGAGGTAGATGAGCTTAGATATTGAAGCCAAAGAAATGGCAGGAGATTATGATAATTTCAGCAATTAACAGTATATGAGGGGAAAAAAATACTGTCAAATAAATTCAACTTCAGTAAAGAACCACAGCATAATTTTAAATAGCAAATCCTATAGAGTCTCTATAGTAAGCTGGCTCTCAATATTACTTGTTCCATTTTTGAACCTGATCATACTTGTTTACATTAATTTCATTATTCGTAGATAATTCCTACAATGTCATTTTTTAATCCTAGAATATAAGAAGTTTTCCAAAGTGAATCTCTGGTAATATGGTTATTATTGAAGACTAGTAATTACTGAAGATTAGTAATTATGTATCATTTTAAAGTAGAATCATGATGTATTTTTGAAAATGAAAAAGCAAAGGATAAAAATGAAGACAGAAAGGGAGAAAGCAAAATGAAAGTGGGAGGAGTTAAGCTTCAGAAAAGGTCCCATTAAATCCCAACTTTTCTTACTGCAAAATAGTATATTTCATGCAAAACTTAAATCCAATCCACTGTTCTTGCCAGTATGCACATCATGGCATACATCCCATTAATGCAACTGAAATCTTCTATTATAAAAATCAATTATAAGAATTTGAAATGTACACATTAATTATATATACATACCTGTGTATTCATCAGAGCCTTTAGACACTGGATGACTTTGTGTTGATTCTTCTTTACAACTTTGTCTTGGCTGTATTAACATAGAAGATATCAGTATAAGAGTTATAATTGGACATACAAAATTATTTAAGGGAAAATTACTAACAATACTTACCTTTTTTCATTAATTAGTTTTTCCAAAATGTCTAGTAATAATCCAAGTCCCTCATATCCAAAACTCTCCACCCAACTGAAAAATGAAAGAAAAGATATAAACTAAGTCAGAATTTTAGAACACCATGAATACTGAATGTAATAAGTACTGTACACATTTAATACTTGTAAACTGTAAAATCAAAGCAACATCAAATACAAAGTCATCTATGATTGAATAGTGAAAGGAGGAAGGAAAATAAGAGGCAGTGAAGAGCTAACCTCGCCATCTCTGGCCTGTGGGAATCAAGTATACCATCACTTCTTTGCCCTATAGTATTTCATAGTAACACAGGTATTTACATTAATGAATGAGAAAAATTACTAATCAGATTTACCCACACACGATTACATAAAACATTAGTTTGGATTATTCCCAGAGCAGAATATGGGCAAGTGAGTGTCAAGGAAGACTATAGACAGAAGATTAAGAAGAAGGAAGGAAGGAAGGAAGGAAGGAAGGAAGGAAGGAAGGAAGGAAGGAAGGAAGGAAGGAAGGAAGGAAGGAAGGAAGGAAGGAAGGAAGGAAGGAAGGAAGGAAGGAAGGAAGGAAGGAAGGAAGGAAGGAAGGAAGGAAGGAGAGACTTGACAAAATTAATCAAAACAAAAGGGATACTTTAAGAGAACTTCCCAAACATCTAAAATGGATTTGTTTAACTTTTAAAATCTTATAAGTCCCAACTGAAAAAACATTTCAGTTGCCTTAATACAAATCAATTTTAAATGAATAATTCACTCTGGCTAAATTATGCTTGTTTCATAAAACTATTTCTGGAACTGTTTACATTAATTTTATTATTCCTACAATAATTCCTAGAATTTTACTTTTAAAATACTAGAATATAAAAACATGGTGTTTAAGAAACTAAGTCATCATTACCACAAGACAACACCCTTTACCCTTTGATTATAGAAAAACTACCTAGATAGAAATGAATTCTTATTTCATGGGGATTTAGAAGCATAAGCCAATAAATAGAATAACAATAAAGTCTAGAAAAACTAAAGAGAAAAGATAATATGGCTGCTTTGCACATATTTCTTTGAATGTATTTTTGTATGCATGATTTTATGTATCAAGGATTTGAAAAAAAATACAAAACTTCATTCAAATAGTCAAAAATTATGACATCATGGGATAGAGGCATGGTTCAGGTAGAAAAAAAGCTTTGGAGCAGGGATGAGTCCCTGAGTTTAATCTCCAGTACTGCCATAAAACAGAACAAAGCAAAAACAAAAGAATATCCTGAAGAATAAAAGTCTAGGTTACAGAATAGAAAATGTTACCATTTTCTTGACTTATGTTACCATATAATATATGCAATGAAAACAATAGCATAAAGTCTATAATGACCAAACCAACAGTTCCTTAGAGAACGATAAACATAGTCCAATGGGACACAACAAAAAGCATGGAAATAAACCTACACATCTATAGCCAACTGGTTTGCCATAAAGGTGCCAAGTATGCGCTGCAGAAAAATAGTCTTTTCAATAAAGGGGACTGGGAAATCTTACTGCCCACTTATAGAATCAAAGTAAGTTCCTCTCTCTTACCATATATAAAATTTATTCTGCTGATGTAAAGATACAATAAAACTTGAAACCATGAAATCCTTACAAGACAATGTGGAAGAATATCTCAGAACACTGGAATACATACTCATATTTTTGGATAAGAATCCAAAGGTACCCAAAAATTGGCAAACTGGACTACACCATACTAAAAAGCTTTTGTACAGCAAAGAAAACACCTCCAGAGTAATGACTGCCTACAGAAGGCCAACTTATACATCTGACAAGAAGTTAATATAATATCTAGAATAAATAGAGAGCTACAAAAACTCAGACAATAATTTTATTTTTAAATGGCTAATACATTTAAATAGACATTTTTCAAAAAAAATCTACAAATGCCAAACAGTCCAGGACAATGTTCTGCATCACTAATAGTAAGGAAGATGTAATCAAAAATACTATGAGATATAATGTCATTTTAGTTAAGAATAGCTAGTATCAAAAAGACTGAAGTTAACAAACTGTTCTGGCAACATACACAAAACAAGAGTCCTTATACACTGGGGCTGGGAAGTTGGCTCAGTGGTAGAGCGCTTGCCTTGCATGAATGAGGCCCTGGGTTCGATTCCTCAGCACCACATAAGCAAAAAGAATAAAGCCAGAAGTGGTGCTGTGGCTCAAGTGGTAGAGCGCTAGCCTTGTGCTGAAGACCTGAGGGACAGAACCCAGGCCCAAGGTTCAGGACCCATAACTGACAAAAAAATAAATAAGGGACTGGGAAGGTGGCACAGTGGTAGAGTGCTTGCTTTGCATGCATGAGGCCCTGGGTTCGATTCCTCAGCACCACATAAGCAAAAAGAAAAAAAGCCGGAAGTGGTGCGGTGGCTCAAGTGGTAGAGCGCTAGCCTTGAGTTGAAGAGCTGAGGGACAGCGCCCAGGCCCAGAGTTCAGACCCCACGACCGGACCCAAAAAGAAAGCCCTTACACACTACTGGGAGGATATAACTTAGTACAGCTATGATAGAAACATTATAATAGTTACTTAGAAAAAGATCCAGCATCAGGTCCCAATGCTTCATACCTATATTCCTACCTACTCAGGAGTCTGAGAACTGAAAATCACAGTTCAAAGCCAGTCCATGCATGCAAAAAAGCTCATGAGACTCTTATCTCCAATTAGCCATCATAAAATCCAGAAGTATAACTCGTTCAAGTGGTAGTACACCAGCCTTAAGCTAAGGGACAGCACTCAGGACCTTCATTCAAGTCCTCCCCCTGCCTCAAAAAAAAAAATCTACCATATGAAGAAATTCAACTACTAGATATACTTCCAAAGTATGGAAATCAGCATGTCTAAAAATCACAAGCACTCTCATATTTATCACAGTACTTCAAAAAAGAGACTTAATACGAAAACAATCTAGATGTCGAGCAATGAGACTGAATAAAGAAAATATGGTATATATATATACACACACACACACACACACACACACACACACACACACACACACACACACACACACATACATATATATACGCACACAACAGAATAGTATTAAAATAGAAAAAAAAGAACAAAATCTTAGCATTTGTGAATATATGGACAGAACTAGAGATCATTTCATTGAGTGAAACAAGGTATGCACAGAAAGACAAGAAACACATGATCTCACTCATACATGAAATTTAAAAAAGTGCTCTTACAAACATTGAGAGTACAAAGGTAGAGAAAAAGATGGAAGGAATAGTGGAAAGTAGCTAATTAATGGGTACTGAATCACAGATAAGATCAAGTAGTTCTAGGGTACCACTGTAAAATACAGTAACAACAGACATCTGTTTTGTACTGCTTATTGCCAAAAGCCAGAAGAAGAATGTTTAATATTTACACCACAAAGAAACAGTGGGTTCCATATCTTAGCTATAGTAAATAATGCTGGAATAACATAGTTGCGCTGGTAGCTTTAGTATGGTCTTGTTTGTAATCATTCGAGTAAATGCCCAAAAACAGGATTGCTGGGTCACAGAGAAGGTCTATGTGGAATCTTTTGAGGGCCCTCTATACTACTTTCCAAAGTGGTTGAACAAGTTTACACTACCACCAACAAAGCAGTAGGGATCCCTTCTGTCCACATCCCCTCCAGCATTTGTTGTTATTAGAGTTCTTGATTACAGCCATTCTAACTGGGGTGAGGTGGTATCTTAATGTTGTTTTGATTTGCATTTCTTTTATGGCTAGGGAGGTTGAGCATTTTTTCATGTGTCTATTGGCCATCCTTCTTTCTTCTTCACAGAAGTTTCTCTTTAAGTCTTTAGCCCACTTATTTATTGGGCAGTTATTTCTTTGAGGATTTGTTGTTGGGGGATTTAATTTTTTGAGTTCTAAGTATATTTTAGATATGAGACCTTTGTCTGTTGTATGGCTAGTGAAGATCTTCTCCCAATCGGTGGGCTTTCTATTGATTTTGCTAGCTACGTCCTTTGCCATGCAGAAGCTCTGCAATTTCATGCAATCCCATTTGTCCAAACTTTCTTTTTAGGAAAATTTGGGCCTGTGCCAAGGAGACCTAGATGCCCCTCAGTAGATGAATGGATCAAGAAAACGTGATATATATATACAATGGAATTCTATGCCTCCATCAGAAAGAATGACATTGTCCCATTTGTTAGGAAATGAGAAGACTAGGAAAAAATTATAGTAAGTGAAGTAAGCCAGGCCCAAAGAAACATAGGACCCATGGTTTCCCTTATTTGTAATAACTAGTACATGTCTGAGACAAGCAGAAACAGTAAGATAAGTTGATGTTAGGCAAAATGAACCCCAAGATAAGGACTCCAATGATTTTTCTTTCTTGCTATTGTTTCTAACATATTTATAAAATGATTTCTTTGTTGCTTTGTATGTCCCTCCCCCACATTATACCTCTGTTTTCACTGTATTAGATGTTGGTATAATTTGTGGAGGGGAAGGGAAAAAACAAATTGTTTAAATAGGGATACAGGTGGACCCACTGCAACAATGAGATGTACAAGTCATTATGTCAAAAAACGAACTTTACAACTTTGGCCCGGGGGAGAGAGGGGGCCAGGGCAGAGGAGGAAGGGAAAACAAAAGAGGAGGCAACAATGCTTGTTAAGAAATGTACTCATAAGACTATACTTTCAGGGATCATTTCTATAGTTCGTTACTAGAGAAATTTAATTGATCATGTAGAGCACCCCTGAGAATCCAAGAACCATAGGAAGAACCCAGTAGCTGCAGCCCCCAAGAAGGTGGATTAAATGGCAGGAACTCCCAAATACCTCTCAGTCCTATCTATCAACATTAACGGACTTAACTCTCCAATTAAGCAACACATTGTCTAGTTGGATTAAAAAGCAAGATCCTTCTATCTGCTGCCTTCAGGAGTCACATCTTGCCCATAAACACAAACACTTTTTCAATGTTAAAGGCAGGAACAAAATCTACCAAGCAAACGGACCCCATAAACAGGCGGGAGTTGCAATCCTAATATC